GATCGGGAAAAACATACCAAGCCACACATATCCAACTAGATGGCAGTAGATCACAGCTTTTGCACTTGCTAAGCTCGGGATATTGCAAAACAAGCGATCCTATCTGCATAGGCGCGAGGACAATATAGTCAAATCACAATCGTTTCAAGACAAAGAAATGAATAAATTGGATATTTTAAATCTCTGCTGGGATTCTCTACCTTATCAGCCAGTGGTCTGCGATTATATGGCGGCTCATATTCCAAGAACTGAAACGAGGGTGGCCCACGAGCATGAGCAACTTCAGGACCAGCCGAACTTATGACGGATGTATTTCCAAGTGAGGTCATATTCAATCCCTGCATGGAATTAGCTCGAGAATCTCTTTTGGGGTCACTGCTGCCAGCATTTATTTCCTTGTTGGTTCCTCTGGACATGAAATTAAAGAAACTATTAGTTCAAAGAATTTGGATAGGGGAGAGAAAAAACAAAACTTTTTCTTTTACATTCACAAAACATAATTTCTAGAAAAAGAGAAGGGCACATAAATACATAATTCGGATATGCAGATATTCGTTGTGGAAAAGAAATTCCTACCCCAGCCTCACATTACTTAACAAAGAGACAGAACAGTTTGAGGAATAAGCTCAGCAACAAGTGACAATATTTAATGCTGTATCATACCCATAGGAACCTTCTACAAATTTCCACGTGCACAAAATCTTTATCATCATACTTTAAATTTCCCAATATTTTTTGCATATGGGACATAATCATCGATCTGACACAAGTACAATTTCCAAGATTCCAAATAACACAATGATGAACAACATAAGATCCTTCTGTTTCTTCACTCCTAGCTCATAAATATATAACATTTGTATCAGTAAGGTTTTAAGCAAGTCATTTGAAACCATATATTTCAGAGAAGTTTATTTCAACATGACAACATGCAGCTGCGGAACATAAATTTAAACACATCATATATGTCATGAAAAAAAAACAAACATATTGTAATATAAAATTGACCTATAAGAAAAATAAACCTGTATTTTTAACTAGTTATCCATCCCTTTTGAGATATTCTCTACCAACACACTAGAAGAAGGCAGCCGGGGACATGTTTTACGTAAGAGAAAAGTGTTACTGAGAATATGGATTCCTCATCGCAAATTGGTAAGGGTAAATTTGTTTGGTAGAGTTCAAGGGGTAGACTCCCAACCCCATCATCATCAGGAAAGAAGTCAAATGAATATTCAGATAAATATCCTTCCTCCTTAGAGATCAAATGTTCTACGAGTAGATTGTGCTGTGACATATAGTTCCAATAAGGTCAATGTCAAGAACCACTAATGCCCACTAAATTTACTCTAAAGTGTTAAATTGCCTATGCAAACTGGATTGACATAATATTACTTGATAAAGACAACATAAATGACTGAATTTGGATAAAGAATCTATAAAAATGATAATTTAATAAAATAACCATACGTTTAAAATGATTGCTTGTTTCAGTTAAAACTCACCCAACTCGAGAAGAAGGGTTTGACGGGTCTACATACAATTGTATGCCCGACAAGAAAGGAACATAGTACTGCTCAATTCTGTCCTTTCCATTCAACAATAAAGGTACTCCAGCTCCATAATAACTCCACTCGCTAAAAAAATCCCACAGATCTTCCAAATAATAAAAAGGAAGTGAATCCACTTCACGCGCTCCCCGCCCCCTTGCATTCACCTGACGACAAAATAAAGTAGTAAAATTATTTCTTGTTCCTTTTGTGAAATGGGACCCGCAATCAACCTTTTAGAACGTCTTTTGCAACGACGATTAATGAGCTTGTTCAAACTAACGGCTTAACGAATCTTTCAACTAGAACCGCGAACTAAGAATTTTTGGAACTTCCCATAAAGACACTTCCAAATAGCTGTAGATTAATAGGATCTCTGAGAAACATCCGCCGCAAACTTTCAAATACTGTGGAACAAACTTACTAAAAACAACCACAAATCAACATATAACCATTTCTTCCAAAGAACTTTAAACCAACGACCTTCCTAAGCAATCTTTTAGACAACAACGCAAATTTAACAACTTGAAAAACAATTTTTCAAATGACTCCCAAGGTCAACGACTTCTGAAAGAATCTTTTAGATGACAACGAACTTAACGACTTTTCAAAACAATCTTTTTAGACAACCGCATAATTTAACGACTTTCCAGAAAACAACTCAACAAAATCTTGCAAACTAACGAACTTCAGAATCAACAACAAATTTTCAGTTAACATTTCTGGTACTTCAAGAAGTATAAAATCAAGACCTTCCAAGATCTAGTTCGTTGTCTAACATTCTCGCAGATATCATATAATTCTCTAATAAGATTTCGGAGAACCACTAGCGTTCTGAAAACCATTCCTAGCATTTCATATCTTTTTGCATTCAAAAAGGTCTAAAAACCACACACATCTGCCATTTAGTTAACAAAAAGAGAAAAACACCTATTTTATTATACACAGATTTCAAACTATAATGAGAAAAACACTTCCAAAAATAATCCTTTCGATTAGCCTTGTTTCTAATGTAATCAAATGCAATAACTTCAATTTTTTTATCAATCCAAAAGGAACGACGATTTAAAATTTTATCTCCTGCATGCATTATCATTCCCCCGAAAACAAATCAGAGATTTAGGGTTTTATCATCAATAGAACAAAAATGAGAGGAAAACAGACACACGAACAACTTAAAAATCTCGGTATACCTCCAACGAGTACCGCGCCTCGACGAAGGGAGTAACGGATTCCATCAAACGATCCAAATTCGTAACATCCAAAGTCGGACCACGGCCAACGGAAGGCGGTATGGACAATGCCGCCGCCGTCGATGAAGCATCAGCGTCCCTCCGCGCTTCCGCCTCTGCCTCCGCCTCCGCTTCCGAGGATGTCTCCCTCGCCGGCGCCGGCGCGGCCCTCCTCTGCAGCAGGTGCTGCTGCTGCTGCTGGAGCAGCTGCCTCTGCAACATTTGCTGCTGCTGCTGCTGCAAAATCATCTGGTGGTGGTGGTGGCGGCGGACCGCCGGCGGGTTGTAAAACCTATCGCCGCTCTGCCTTGGCGGCGGCGGAGGCGCCGCCGCATACCCTCCTCTACTCGACATCTAAGAAACTCCGGGATTTTTCAACCTCGATTGACTCGGAAAACAATCGAAATGAGCACGTCTATTTATAGATAGAAATTGTGCCAACTGCGTATTGACTTTTGGCGGATTTCGGGATTGAGAGATTGAAGCAATCGAGAGTATGTAATCCAAAAATGAGATTGAATTTGAGGTGAATTTTTGTGGATTGAAAAGAAAACAAAAAGAGAGTTTTTTCAAAGTTCAGTGTGTGTGTGTTCTTTGGTGTGTGCTGAGGTTGAAGGCTATGACCTTCACTATGTGTATGTATGTGTGCTTTTACTTTTTTTAGTTGCTCTATTTTGGATTTTTTCTAGTGGAGGGGTATTTTGGGTATAACAAGAAAATATAGGTTTGTAGCAAGTGAGATTCAAACAAGTCTAAAAAATTAATAATTGATCATGTACACATACGCAAATATAAATTTTAAAGTATAATAGATTGTATGTATGTATTATATTAAAATTATACAATAAATAATAGACATATGACATTTTACAAATTAGATCAATAAATAAACAGTATAAATATAAATTATTTAACTATACATAAATCATTATATTAATTATATAAAATATAATAAATAGTATAATTCTTTTATTTTTAAGGGATTGCTATCAATTAATATTATTTGCATTATTGTTATAGAAATTCTTTGCTATGCCTTTAAAATTAATTAACCGATTTCTAATAAAAATCCAATAATGAGGTGAAAGAAATAGGAGAAGATAATATTAATTTTAGATAAATAATAAACTACAATACTATTTTTTTAAAATTATTGTTCAACTTCTATATACCATTTAGTGTGAGTTATAATTATTATATGACATAATAGCTAACAAACTATGATTACATTTAAATATTAATTGATATAAAATTTGATAGCTTTATCATAATTAATTAAAAAATAGACGGATTTTTTTTTTTTATATCAACTTGATAGCCTTTAATTACATATATGAATCATACAAAAATTATTTTTTCGAGTTTCATAAAATTTACGGGTCCGAGCGAACTTGAATTTTAACAAATTAAAATCGTTCTCAAGGGCCATATTTGGCATTTTTTGTCCACGTGTAAAATCAACATTTAATTGCAGCGAGTTGATTTGACGAAATTGCCCCCGTCAGTAGTCTCGATTGTGCCGCACGCGCCCTTTCGCTTTGATCGATCCAAGTAGTTGCCGATTATGGGAAAAGATAATTATTAATTTATTACAATTTTAAAATAAAGGGAAAAAAGGGAGGAGTAAATTTAATTGCTACAATGTCTTCTACTAAATTTCCTTTATTACAGATATTTTCCATTGAGAAAATATAATTTCTTTTTATGTAATTTGATCCCATCTAATCTAATTTTCTAAAAGCACGAATTATTGTGTGAGGTTGTTCAAAGGTTAAGTGGATCGTGCAGTAACAATTTCTTATAAAAAATCATATTTAGAATATGTGTTAGTACGATACTCGTGCACTACACGGGTTTGATAAAATAGTTAAATGTATAGTAAAAAATGAAAGAAAAAAATATTATATATTTTGTTGAAATCGAATAAAATGAATAATATATAAAAGAAGTAAAGAACTAAGTGAATGAATAATGGTATTTTTAAATTTTGAAAACTAATTTATATACATTATTAGTCTTATTTATAATATTTTTATTCAAAACACATAAATAAATAACATGGACAAAATACAAAATTTGTAAAGTGAGATAATATACACATAATAGAAAGAAGATATTAAACAAATTTATATGAAATAGTATAGATACATGACATATATGTATTTATGGTAATTCAGACTTAAGTTTTTTTGTATAAAAAGTTAGTAATTTATATTCCTACCATATTACAAAGCATTATATTTTGCCACATAAAATTTAAAAGTATGCGAAACTGCCACTTAGGCTGAGCGCGTTCTGAAATTATGAATAAGGGGAATGATAAATATATTTAAAACGAAGTTGATAGTTTATAAATTAATTTTGAGTTATAATGATAGTTTATAGTTAATGACTTGATAATAAAAGTGTTTGATAATTAGCTAATAAGTCGACTTAAGTAAAAATTTCAATTGACTTATTTAATCAGCTATATAAAGAATATTAAGAGATAATTTCCTTTTTTTGTTGAAAAAAAAGGAAGATAAATTTCATTTACTCAAATAAAGATAAAGATCAATTCATTTGCTTTTACTTTTAATAAGAAGAAGTTAAGTAACTAAATTAGTTTATGGTACTTACCAAAAGCACTTTTATCCTATGAATTGTCATATTTACATTCATGTTGTTTATTGTATGACATATTAGTTTAAAGAATGTATGAAAACATAATAAAAATATGTATATATAATTATTAATCTAAATAGCAACACCTTTACTTTTATGAAATTTACAAAAATGAGAAAAAATAAATAAAAATAAAATATACACCTACTAAAATTATAGGTCCAAACTCGAATTATATAAAGGAGAAGTACATGAGTTTCTTAAATAAATTTCTGTAAGATTGTAAAAAACTGGGGCTAAAAGGGGTGCGGTCCAACGCACGTAAAGCGCACCATAAACAAGGAAAGCCGGATGAAGCCCAAGTGGGGCTCCATCCCAAAACCATATGGTGGAAGGAGGAGTAGCCCATTAGACTTATAAATTAGACCTATTTCCTTATATAAACGATGTAGGACAACTCACAAGTAAATATTCTAATACGCCATCTCACTTGTGAATCCTTAATAAGAAAGTCCAAGCCCATATACATAGCTGGGTGGAGAGAGTCATTGCAGGTCCTAGGACAGACTCGCTTTGATACCATATTAGAACCGGGGGAAGAGTGTGCGGTCCCACCAAGTGAAGCGCACCATAAGAAGGTGAGCCTAGGTGTACCATAGTGATGTTCCATCCTAAAACCAATTGGTTATCCAAAATCAATTGGTGGAAGGAGGAGTAACCCATTAGACTTATAAATTAGACTTATTTTCCCTATATAAACGATGTAAGATAACTCACAAGTGAATATTCTAATATGCCCCCTCACTTGTGAGTCCTTAATAAGAAAGCCCAAGTCCATATACGGAGCTGGGTGCCCCAACCCAAGTCCTACTAGAAACAGACTCCCACAAACGGGTACGTCATCGCACGGTCCCCAATAGAATCGACTCTAATACCATGTAAGAAACGGGGGAGGAGTGGCCCACGCCCAATCTATTTTCCCTATATAAACGACGTGGGACAACTCACAAGTGAATATTCTAATAATGATGATAAAGTCTATTGCATATGATTGATAATATGTTAAGAAATAATGTACTAAATCTAATTGAGAGACATGCACTTTGATTGAGATGTTAAATTTGATTCTCTTTATTTGACAATCTTTAAAAAACAAATGATTTTGTGAACTTGCTAACATTTATATTGTTTGGGAAAAGGAAATTTAATGAATGTCAATGTTGATAATGGGATTATGAATGATGAGCTACTGATAATTGATGTATTTAATTTGATAATAATTATGTAATATCAACTTTTAAAAATAAAGCGAATGAAATAATGAGTATGTGGACAACATTACTCGAATTTGAAAATCGGTCAATCCCTGTCTTCTTTTTTCTAGAGACAGATAAAGTAGAAGTTTGTTGAGACCTTGAGATAAGAATGCACATAAATGCAATATAAGATTTGTATATTTGTATATTCTTTTGTTTTTCCTCAAATTATATGACTATCGACGTACAATTTACTGATATATTTTCGTAATATGACCTCACTAATGATTTGAAAGTTATAATTTTTCAATAAATTTATATACGTGCATACTTTAGATTACATTATAAAAAAAAAGGTATGTCATTTTAATTGTTTGAGATGAGATTTATAAACGCTTTTTTATGATTTTATATTTTTTTTGTGTATTTAATTTATAATTTTAAGACTTTTAGAAGTCATAAGTTATTCATGTGAGTTTTAAAAGAGTAATGCTACATTGCCAACCTAGTATATAATTAGGTTGACAATACAATCGAAAACATTCAAAAAAATAAAAATAATAAAATACACAAGTGGATGTTTTCACTTGTGTTGTCAACCTAGTTGTACACTAAGTTGGTAATGTAGTATTTTTTTTTTAAAAAAAAAAAAGTCTTACAAAAGTATGAGGTATTTATTAATTATGTGAGACTGAGTTGTTTAGGGCTTTGTAAGATTTATATCGAGATTTCAAAGAAAAAAAACATATGCGAAATTTCACTTTAAATCTAGTTGAAATTTTAGGGGGTTGTATTTTGTTTGAGATTTCGACTGATATTTTGAAATTTTTTGATATTTGAGATTTTTAGATTTTTAGATTTATGGGGAATCATGAGAAATCTTAAGTCTCAAGGTAGAAATTGGAGTTAAATTTCGTATATGGTTTTTATTTTTATGTTTTTCCTTTTGAAATCCCAGCAACTCTTAGAAAGTCTTAATAAATTATATTCTCATACAAGTTAAATATCGCATAATTTTGTATGATTTTTTAAAATCTTAAATAAATACATGAAACTGTTAAAAATCTTAAAGAGTCAAAATTAAATACACCAGGAATGATTTCTGAAGTCTTAAAAAATCTATAAAAATTCCAAATGAATGCACCCTCATTTAAGATTTCATATAGAATTCTTGCTAAATATAATATTTTTAGAAAGTCTCAAATCTCATTTATGAAATCTCACTCCAAATTTCAACTCCAGATTTAAAATTAGGATTTTTGATAAGTATGAAAATCATAAAAAGTTTGAAATATCAAAATGTTTCAAAAATCAAAATGTCATTCAAAATCTCAAATAAAATATTTCTTAAGTATGCGAAAGTATGATTGTCCACTAGTTAAACTGCTTAACAACCCCATTCGTGTATGACCAAATGTGAAGTTAGAAAAAGAGAACTAAATGCCAAAAAAATAAATAAATATATAAGTATTCATGTGCTCCTGCACTTGAATCGACTTCCCTCTGATCCTTGACCGCTTCAAGACCTGCAAAGACGTCGGGAGGTGTTCCCAGCGGTAAACCTCCGACGCTCAAGTCAGTATGAGATCGAAGATAGAGGAAGCTGTGTATAGAATTTAGGGTTTGTAGATTGATTAGCCTTACCTGCTGCCCTAATTTCCCTATTTATATCAAGTTATTTAGCTTCCTCCACACGCTTTCTTCTTCCTCCGTCGGATCATTTGTTCCACTTTGATATTGACCTTACACGTGTCCTTTATGGACCGCCTTTCATAACCACCTCCACAGGTCGGTCCTCAACTTTGTAGAATATCACCACCGATTGACTTTTCCTTAAAAGACCCTTCTGTTACACTGCACCGAGCTACTACTGTGACGAGCTCTCCGCACTCCTAGGCCCTACAACTAGCCGAGCTTATACTGTGACAAGCTCTCTGCACTGCTAGGCCCTGCAACTAACCTAGCTACTACTGTGACGAGCTCTCCACACTCCCAAGTCCTGCCACTAGCCGAGCTACTACTGTGACGAGCTACTGGGCCTCGTTGCTAGGCCGAGCTGTTGCTATGAGGAGCTAATGGGCCTCGCTGCTAGGTCGAGTTGTTGCTATGACGAGCTAATGGGCCTCGTTGCTAGGCCGAGTTGTTGCTATGACGAGCTAATGGGCCTCGCTGCTAGGCCGAGTTGTTGCTATGACGAGCTACTGGACCTCGTTGCTAGACCGAGGGGTATTCCCAACTAAAGCAAGATATCAAAATCGAAATAACCTAGTCACACCTTTATGAAATTCGAACCAACCGAACTTTCGTCCCAAAATTGAACTAAAATAATCAGTTTCTTCGATCGGTTAACCAGAATAAATTATAATTTATAGCAAAAATAAATATTTGTATTTTTATTTATTTTTTATATTATTTTTCTGAAAATAATATTTTTATATAGTTCGATCGGTTTAGTTATTTCGATTATTTTCAAAATAAAATCGAATAGCATTTTCAAAGAAATTTCCAATCAACATACTAGTTGAATAACATTTGTTTTGGTGGTTGACTACTTTGAGAACACTTGCTCTGTAAAATCACGGGGCCCTACTCCATTATTTATTTATTTATTTATTTGACGAAGATGAGATATCGTCTAGCATCATTAATTTATGATATATATTTAATTTCTTTTATTATTGGTCCTTTTATTATTACTAGTACAAATCTCGTGCAATGCACGGGTAAGAAATATTTATTAATATTTATAAATTAAAATTTCTCAATAAATAATAGATAAGTATATTTGATAATATTTTTTTTCATAATTCGCATTAACTTATGGTGAATATTGGAATGATATATTGTCATATAAAATAAAAATCAAATTTTCTATATTTGGTTGTATTGATGCGTTTCCATATCAAATTATTTTTTATGTTATTGTACATTTTCAGTTTAGACTGTTTGATACGTGTTTATCTCATTTTTGTTGCGTTTTTTGTTATTGTTTTGTCTTTCATTTTCCCCCGTTTTAGGTCTTTTAGTTGGTTTTTGTTCGTTTTTGTAGTTTATTTTGTGTTTTACTCTATTTTGGTTCTCTATGTGTTTTTGTGTGTTTTTCTGGTTTTTTCTTCTTGTTTTTGGTATGCAGGCCGGAAGCCCCGTGAGGAAGATATTTTGCCCGAAAATTTAACTGGCAATCATGATTGAATAGACGGGTCTGTTGGCGATATATAGGAAGAAGTGGAGCTCAATTTCGAGCTTGGACGAGTCCAAACAGGCCCAAAACGCGAAGTCGCACGAAGCACGTCTTTGGTGTGCTGGTCATAAGCTTTGAGAGAATTGGACTTCAAGAATAATTTGGTCATTCAAGCATCTTGAATAGAGGGGTTCGTTAGCGACGCATGGGAAAAAACAGAACTCAATTCCGAATTCGAACGAGCCCGAAACGCAAAGTCGCGCTGTCCAGGCCATAGCGGCGCTAAGCCTGGTTTCCTAGCAGCGTTATGGCATGTTAACGATGCCAGAGGCGAACAACTAAGATCCCTTAGCGCCGCTAACTCCCCTTAGCGGCGCTAAGGCCCCCTGCAAGTCCCAGAATGGTATAAGAACCTCAAAAACTCGTTTTCTTCTCTATTCTTTCACCATCAGCTCGAAGGGGGAAGAACCCTAGGTCCGAAAATTGCCTCCCCCCTTCATTTTTCTCCTTCTTCTTCCTCTTCTCCTTCCTCTCCTTCTTCTTCTTCTTCTTCTTCTTCTTCTTCTTCTTCTTCTTCTTCTTCTTCTTCTTCTTCTTCTTCTTCTTCTTCTTCTTCTTCTTTGTTTTTCCTCTTCTCTTCATCTTTCTTTTCCATTTTTCTTCTTCTTTTTATTAGTATTCAAGGATTAAGCTTGTAATTCAAGTTCAACACTTCTAATTGCGATTTATTGTAAGTTCTTCTCTTTATTTTTAATTCATGAATAATGGTTGAATTGAGAGAGATGATGGATTGTGTTGAATTGATATTACTTAGTTAATTCTTATTGCTAGAGATAGGGAATAATTGTTCTCGTTTAACGTGTATTTGTCGGGCTTGAATTGTTCGTTCTTGTGCGGTTGATTTGATTACGAATTGATGAAATCTTGTTCGATTGATTGATGTAATCGAAGAGTGACACTTCGATCTTGCAATTGGAAACAATTGAATGTTGATTTGTCGAGTTAGGGTTTTGTTGATTCTATATGATTAGTCGATTAACTCTCTTCTAATTTAATTAGCGACTTTTAGAACCGAAAGGGGAGAAGTTGTAGACTTAGGCTCGCATGAGGTAGATGATTTCGTAATTAAATAGTCTATAGGTTTTGAATTGAAATACGTGCTTGTCGATGACTCGTCCCTTGTTACGAATAGCTATTAGGATTGGGATAATTGGTCTGTGTCGTATGCTCAAGTTTGTTCGTCTATGTTCAATCCCTTGTTACGAAGAGTTATTGGGAGCGAACCGGTAGATGCTTAAGCGAGAGCGTCAATCTAGAATAGAATGATTAATGTCCCGGTGTGCAAATAGAACTTGAATTAATTATCCCCGACTCCCTAGCTTCTTTATCGTTGTTTCATTTATATTTTTAGGTAGATTATTGTTTATTTTATTTCTTAGTTAATAATTATTCAACCCCCCTTATTTGATTAAAGTGTTTAGGGTTTTATTTTATTTTTGTGTGAAATCAATACCAAAACTAAATTCTGAACCGCCTTCCTTGTGAGATCGACCCGTGGAACGAATCTTTCGATCCGGTACTCGGTAAAAGTAACAATTTGTACACAACAATACGTTATTTGAATTGAAATTATTCTTACTCAAAATTAAATATTATATTTGCCTAAATTGAATGTCACAAAAAATATGTTATGGATGTTTCAAAATAAAATATTTGCTCCTAAATTGTAAATTTTGTTAAATATTTTTTTAACGAAAACACGAATAGAATGTTACCAAAAATACAGATTGTCATCGTATACACTCATTTTTACCAATAAATCATATCGGAATTATTCACCGAAAATCTAATCTCATTTGAAAATCGAGTTTTATGTGTAATAGATAAGTATATCATTTTGAAAGTATAGTGAAAATCGAATTTTGCCAAAATTGTGTAGGAAATGAGATCATTCAACAAATCATTGGAAAAGATACACCGATAATTTTACCAAGAAATTTAATTTGAAATTTATTCACTAAATGTTCGGAAAAGTAGTTAATTAAGAAAAAAAAAAAAAAGGATAAGGTAACATTCATTTTTAAAATATGCACCCATTTTGTTCATAAAAAACAGTATATGAAATTGATTTGCTCATTTTTTTCCTAATCTCATGTGTTTTTAAAAACATTTCTTATAATAGTAAATCAAACATTTAATTAAAAAGTCAAAGTTTCTATTTATGTATTTTTCCAACAACCTTTATATATTAACTAGTACGGTGCCCGTGCGATGCACGGGAGCATTTATTACCTATATATTTTTTAAAAAGTCTTTTTGTATTTGAATTGTCTCAAGCCATTAAAAATTTCATGAAAAATAAAATTTATATGTTATTAAACACTTCCTTATGTACAACATTATTGATTTGATTTTTTGGCACGTAAAGTACTACATAGGTGTTCAAAATTTATCCAAAATTGCATATTATTAGTTATTAGTTAACAAATTTTTTTAAAAAAATAAAGGATCTTATTTACTGAACAAAATTAAAGTAGAAAAAAAAGTAGAATTGTTTAGGGATCTTAACCCATTATTTATTTTAAATCTAATTCTAAATTTCAATTAAGAAAAATTGAAAAGAATCATTAGTTGTTGCCGGAAATGAAACCGATTTTCCTACCAATAAATCGATTTTTTTATCAAACAAATTGATCCGAATTTTTTTTAAACCAAATAAAAAAAATTATCAATTTTTCCTAAAAATGCAACCAAATTTTCCTAACATTGCACCAATTTTTGTATCAAACAAATTGAATTGAAAATAATTCTAATAAAAAAATGACATAAATTGTTAATGTTTATGCAACTGTCTCTTTCCTAAAGAAAATGATATGAACTTAACCAAAAAAAAAATGATATGAACTTACCAAAATCTCGGTAAAACATGATTAAGAAAAAACATATGAATTCAAAAACATCGATGCACTTAAATTTTGAAAAGTTGCATACAATTTTTCCTAAATAATTGGATAAGATGACTTTAAATATCAATGATGAACTGCTTTTGTTACCATAAAATGTGGACACAATTTTGAATGTACATCACGTCCAAATATCAGTTTTATTTTAAAATAAAATTTGCACGTGGCTTTATCCAATTTACACAATTTTTTTGAAAGAAAAAATTATTCAATAAGATTGGAAGAATTGATTAAGAATTATACAACTATTTGTTTCCTAAATTTATATCCAATTAGCACAGATTTTAAATTAATTTGTATTTAGAATTATTTTCATAAATAATTGACACATTTTTTGCATAAGAATCTCCAAATTTGTTACCAAAGAAGATATGATTTAAATTTTGGTAAAAAAATAAAATATGATACGAAAAAAATGAGATTCAAATTTTGCCATAAGAATCTTCAAATTTGTTACCAAAAAAATAGGATTTAGATTTTGTTAATAGAGATTCACATGTGTTTTTTTGAACTTTCCATTAATAGTAAGTCAAACATTATATTTATTTGATCAAACTTTCTATTAATGTATTTTTCCAACAACCTCTTTATATATATATAGATATAGATATAGATTCCTTTTATGTTTAGTATTTAATTGGTATTAGAATATTTAGCAAGAGATCTTGTCTTGTTGGACAAGTTAGGACTTAGGAGTATGATTTAAGAGTCTTACTTAAAGGACTTCTCCCCTTTTGCGTTTTTCAGTTGATTATGAATAAAAGATGAATTGATATTGTGTTTACGTGTGTTTGAGATTGAAATCTCATTAATATCGTCTTACTTGTACACTTCCTACATCATCATTTCATCTTATTTAATGCTCCAAAGATTTTGGTAAATTTTTGACTGGGTCACTGGAATGGTTGTGAAGTGTATACACTTAGTAGCCAAAGATAAAATGCTCTTTTTTTGCTTTCAATGGCTGAAAATGAAAATTTTGTTTGACTGGTCTGGCAATAATCCGTAGTCGAGCTTGTGCTCATTTAGTTAACTAGCCGACCTGGCATGGCTTGTTTAAATAATGAGCCAAAGGCTTTAGCATAGTTTGTCTTGGCTCTTAAAAACTTGTCTTGGCTCGGTTCATGTAATAAACTTAAAACCATAAATTAAAAGTGGTGTTGTTCGTGAACAACTTCAACTCCACTGTTTCATTTCAAACATATAAAGAACAAGTTGTTTATAAACAAGACTGTCTAGGCAATTTTATTAAATGAACTCAAGTTGTTTGAGTTTGATTTGTTTTTCAGGCTGAATTGAGTTGTGTTTGCGAATAACTCAACTCAATTCGAATAACATCCACATTATGTATTTGTAATTATGTATATATATTAATTTTAATAAGCAAAAATCAGTACAGCACAAACAATTGAGGATAAATGTCAATTCCAGCAACATAAAATATAATTCAGAAAATCAAATCAAAGAACAGAAAAATCTCAAATTTTATTTCAAATTTCAACTATATAAAAATAGTCCACCTATCATCACATTCACACCCTTTTTTCTTTTTCTTCTTCTTCTTCTTCACCACCCTATAAACCAAATCATCCCCGCAAATTCACCAGTTCAAGAATGTACAAAATGTGGATGAAAAATAACCAATAACAAGAAATGAATAATCTAAAAAAATGAAAAAGAAAAAGCAACAACCATCTTATATAAACCGTTCTGCTCTACCAAAACTTTTTCTTACACACGAATGACGAAATGAACAAATCTGATTCTGTACACATAATGTAATGTACGTACCGCCCGATTTTTTCGCTGCTCGAAGAATATCGTCATCATCATAAAATCGCGACCCGACTAATTTCACGAGACGAAACAAAGCACTCACTTGACGAACCTTCCAACTCGGGACACGGCTCGGGAAACACATCGAGAGACGAGCCCACAACATTCGAGCACACCCAAGACGACTTAGACGGGTCGGGCGGCAAAACCGAGAAAAACGAGACGTTCGAAAGGCAAATCGACGTGAACGGCATTTCCTCTAATCCCAAAAATACCCCTCCGACCAAAGACACGTTCACTCCGACCACGTCCTTAAACGTAATTTCGCTCACGACGGGAAGCTCGCTAGGGTCGAACTTGTCGTCCGGGTGGGACCCGCTTTCCCCGGTCGCCTTGATCCCTTGCCGCACGTTTTCCAAGAAAACGTCAATGACGAAAATGCCCCTAATGTAGCCTCCGCGACCTTTGACCGTCTTGAGCTCGACTCCGCAGTCGGAGTCGAGCACGCGGAGGTTCTCGACGAGGATTTCCGAGACGCCGCCCGACATTTCGCTCCCTAAGGCGACGCCCGAGCCGGAGAACGAATGGAGGTTGAGTTTTCGGATGTGGACTTTGGATGTCGGTTTACCGTACGAAATGCCGTATTCGTCCCAACCGCTTTTTAGGGCAACCGAGTCGTGGCCCGTGGATATGTTGCTATTCTCTATGCAAACGTGCTCGGACGAATCTGGAGTCGAGGGAGGAGGTCGAGATTTTGGATTATTGGGAAATGAGGGAATAATATATTTTTATTTTTTTTTAAAAAAAAAGGAAGGTAAAAAAATTCATGGAATTTCATATGTACCTAATTTATTGGGATGCCGAAGGGCGTGCTTGGATACAAATATATCAGCTCAAAATGAGTTTTTATAGTTAACTATGGATAATTTCGAAAATGTGGTATGATTAGTTATTAATGAGATTTTGAGTTTCTATGAAAATTATATTTAAAATAAAATAATTAAAGTTGATTTGATGTAAAAGTAGGAGAGAGATAATGTGAAGTGATGATTAGTTAAGATTATGCGACTGGATCAATAGTGAATTAAAATTGATGTGATGTGTAAGAATGATCGATTGATATTAGCGTTCTTAAGGCCAAAGAATCAGGTGGAAAAAGGGTGGGGCATTAATCTCTTTTTAACGTCTAATTAGATCCGGAAAATTATTCAAATTAAAACTAAAATAAAACAAAACCACATTCAAGACATGGAAGATTTTCTTTGTTTCTTTGGTAATTAAGCTAAATGTAGGGTGTTAGTTTAGTAATTCATAGCTAGTCTTTGGCAATAGGGCTGATTTATATTCATGAAAAAAACATACTTCAGTAAAGAAATGTGGATTGAATTAACTAACTGTAAGCAAATAACCAAGTGGACAGAGAAAATAGCAAATAGTTCATTTCATAAGCAATCGAGTAAATGCGTTTTATTATTACTTATGAATAGATTTACGAACCTGGAACTACGCCACTAGTGTATGGAGAGTCTGGCGGAGAATAAACCGTAATATTCTGAACTAACAATTTACTGCATCAAAAAGTTTGAGAGAAGGTAAAAGTTAGAATAACCTTTGCATCCTCAAAAGGCACGACTCGAATCACAATATGACAAAACAAACATTGAAAATGTTCGAAAAATGGAAGCTAAACGCATATACCTGCAATAAACGGGATGAATGTTCCAAGCAGGTGCATTTATGAAGGTTAAGTTCAATACAACAATATTGTTCGACCCGACGAGTTCTACTAAATGTGGTCGGCTGTAATTTAAAGTGTGATTACTTAGTTGTTCCCACCAAATCGAACCTTGTCCATCGATAGTTCCATTATTTCCTGCCGAGCAAGTGAAACAAAATTGAATTATTTGGGGAAAAAAAAAATGTGCATGGACAGCCGAAAAAACCAGAAATTAAATAAAAATAAGATAAAATTAGCTTTAGAGTATGTTACCTGTGATAACAACATCAGTTAATTCTTGTCCGCTGATCAAGCTGCGATATCTTCGACCAGGTACTTCAAGGCCTCGGCCATATGAAGGTAATGGATCAACTAAATCCCAGTGACTATAATCCTGAAAAGTAAACAGGAATATATAACTCTTGATAGACATAAATAATCAGCCCAATATGGCTCGTAGTGGAAATTCTTTTAACCGGTGCAAAACAAAAGGAAAAGCTTACAGAGCAAAGAAAAAGCCAAATAGGAAAAGAATAATAGTAAAATGAAGGATCTGCAGTGAAGATTTGGGCTATGTTTGGTAAACTCAGCTGGATTTCGAGATTATAGCTGATAGCTTATGACTTATGGCTGAAAAGCTAACTTATATGCTAAGAATGCTCAGTAAAATTAGCTGATAAGCTAGCTAAAATAAAAATTTCAATGGACTTATTTGAAAAGCCACCCAAGGAAGCTTATGAGATTAGCTCGAGCTTTTTAAAAAAATTCGTCCTACCAAACCAAGTTTATTTGAATAAAGGAAGCTTATAAGCTAATTAAATAAGCTATAAGCTAGCTTATATGTACCAAAACACAACCTTGGTGTATAAGTTGTCTGCATTCTCAAGAAAATAACCCTTGTAAGAACCGAAAAGCAAAAATCGAAAATCGAAATGAAAACACTTTTTTTTTTTCTCTGTCTATATGGTTTTCAATCACTGATAGAAAGACTGAGCAAGTATAATATGTTTAATGGAAAAAGCAGTATAGCCTAATCACATAACCAAATGTATCTTTCTAAATTACAATCATTCACCCAGTCCACAATTATTTTTCTCCCATAATATATAATTCTGCAAGACCTCAAAATCCCTCGAAACAAGAAGCCTGTCGATAGATAGGCAATACAAACACATATGCAAAAATTTGTACGATTTAATTTGAAAAAACCCACAAAATTTTACAAACCTGAGAACCAAGAATAGTCGCGTCTTTCTCCAGGAAAAGCGTGAGGTGGCTCGTGAGAGTAATGCAACCCGTGAGCCACCTGCCAGCTGGCACATAGAGCTGGGCCCCACCCTTATCAGCAAACGATTTAAGGTAAAAAATCGCATTTTGGAAAGCTACCGTGTTTAAGGTTTTCCCGTCCCCAACTGCCCCGAATTCTGTGACCGACACGCTGTGAGGCCTCGGGCTCAACGGCCAGTTAGATTCGCAAACCCTTTCATACTCAGCGTTAATGCTCAGTACCAAGAGCAAAAGAAAAACTACCT